ATGGCCCTGGAGGTTGTCTCTGCGCCATGTCTTGTTCTGAAAACTGAATGGCAGAGATCCAGGGCACTGGAATATGATGGTTGTTACTGGAGTTTAGATATCACATCACTACTGTCTCAGTGACCTGGCTGAGAAAAAAGAAGTTGGAAACTGAGCACTAGTTGACAACTTTGTTAGCACTTAGTGTGGTCTCCTTCAAATCTGTCTGGACTATTGCATTCTTTAAGATGGCTGGGAGCTCTCTTTCTTTGAAGGCATTGATGATTTCAGCTACCGTTGAGGACAGGTATTCGGGACTAGTCAATGCTAGCCAACACCAGCTAAGAGACTGGTTTCAAAAGTGGTATGTTGGACATACTGGAGTGCTTCTAGGGCTTCCACGCAGGTGCTTGGCCAAAGCTCTGATAAGGCAATAGTGTGTAGGGATCTATGCATTGAATCCTGTGTACTGGAACCTGGATGGTGCTATAGATGAGAGATTAATGATGAGGGGATCATGAGAAGTTTAGTGCTAAAGGCAAAAGAAAAGGAGTCACCGGCCTGAAAAAAAAATCATGATAAAGTATTTTATTTCCTAAAAAATACAGTACACAGTAGCATGTCTCTTTTTGTTGTTTTTCCACTGAAGAGAGCCAGGGAATGAAGCAGACTGCAGCTGTAATGGTGGGCCAACTTGGGCTCCTCCCACCAGGCTCGGGTGCTGGTGTAAGTGTTTATCATGTGCCTAAATAAATCCATCATCTGCATCTTTAAGAAGTAAGTTTGATTTTCCATTTCCTCCATCTTCACTGTTGCCTCCCACGTCATATAGGTCAGCACTCTCTCATTCCTCTTTATTATGCTAATGGCGGTGGGCATTACACTGGTCTACAATTTTTGAGAAGTCGTCTGCTTCAGAGATAAAATGTGCTATTTATTATGTATTTTGATGTGCCGAATTCAAATATGACAATTAAAATAACTGATTGGCTACTGTTTCTAAGACATTTAAGTTTTTACATTTTATGTTTATGTATATTGTGTAGATAGTAAAGTTTTAATCATAAATTGTAAACCTAGGTCTTTTCATGTGTTTATGGTTGCTTTACATGATAATATTTCACCTGTCCTGTTTATGCAACACTTTAAAAATCAGCAAA